CGAGCACAAAGAGAGGTGAGATGTTTGCACTAGTGCTTGCCCTGGTCACTGTCACCCAACACCAGCAAAACAGGTGCCACCACTGAGCAAACGTGCAGCTCTGTCAAGGGCTTAATTCCTTTGAGACTCAAATCAGATTTGCAGTTGCTCAGCAGACACATTTGATGCTTTCTCTAAATGGAGCTCATTGACTTGCAAGGCAGCAGCTGTCTGGGGGGGGGGGAAGTTTTCTGCCATGGAGATGGATCAATTCTACAATATAAGATTCCCAATTCGTTCAAAGTAGGCCACATCCAGGCTGCCAAATGTGTGTCATTATTTGGCAGTGCTTATGTCTGCAAACAGCTCTTTATGAATATAAAGGAGCCTCCATTAAGATTCATCGTGACTCATGGGCACCTTCACTCAGTTCTTAAAACTCTGGTGCAGCTCAGGGTTTGCAGTAGGTTGCACTCAAAACAGGAGGTCACACCTCAAAAGACAAACACTGTCCTAGTCCACCAGAACAGAGGGGTTTAAACAGACAATTGTGCATTAACATTACTGTAAAATAAAACTATTCCTGGCCCGATTTATGTGCTAAAACTTTAGGCTTGAGATCCCATATTAATTTGTACCTGTAGGGCTGCTAGGAGAGCTAGTGAGAAGATAGGAGTGGCTAGCACTTTGGATCCAGCCACTGCTGTGGCCCATGTAATACCCAGTGTTTGAAGGAGACTGGGGCATGGATGAATAACTGGCTGGAGCTCAATCTTTGTAAAATCCATTTGAGCCTGGTAGGCTGGGGGAAGCAAGGCTTAAAATTCCCTCGCTGAGCGAGGTATGTTCCTTCTTGTTACTCCTGTTTGACATTGAAGTGGTGTCTTGGATCCCTAACTGCTGTTGCATGATCATATAGCCGCAGTGTCCAGGAAAGCTATTCACCCTCTGTGCCTGGGCAGGAAATTGTGACCATTTCTTGTAGCTGTAGGGAGATTACTTCTGTGATTCATGTCTTTGTCACCTAAGGACTTGGTTATTGCAAAATGCTTCACATTGACCTAATGTGCAGCCCTAGCTATAAACTAGGGGGGAGGGATAGCTCTGTGGTTTGAGCATTGGCCTGCTTAAAGCCAGGGTTGAGCGCTCAATCCTCGAGGGGGACCATTGGGGGATTTACTTAGGGATTGGGCCTGAGGTCCCTTCCAACCCTGAGATTCTAGTCTATGAAACTTAAGCTACTGCGCTTGCTACCTATTGGTTTCTGGAGTGAATTTAAAGTGCTAGTTTTAACCTATAAAGCCACAACGAACTTGAAACCAGGCTACTTGCAAGATTGCCGCTCTGCTGCCACAGAGGCACTCAGGCTGAATCCCCACGATTGACAAGGAAGAGGGCTGGGGGTAGTGTTGTCTGTGAGGGGCTCATAGCTCTGGAATAGGCTACCCCTCTAATCCAAAATCGATTGAGCCTACTGACCTCCAGAGTACGCTGCAAGACACATCCATTTACACAGGCTGCTTCACAGATGGCCTTTGAGAAGAACCAGATTTGGGGAGGGGAGAAGAATGTGATGTTCTGCAGGAAGTCTAATTTGATTTGTTTTTGTGTCTAAAGCCTTGGAGAGGCACCTCTTTGTTCTCTGTATACATCTAACTGGATGAAAAGTACCTGTAGTTACACTATGGATTTACTCATGTAAATGTCTAATTATTTTTCAAAGCCTGCTGTGTTGTATCTCAGCAGTATCTTGTGACGGTGAATTCCACTGGTAAGGTAACAGGAAGGGGGTGTGGATAAAGCACAAGACCGGACAGATGCGCCCTCTGCTACAGACTTGCTGCATGAGTTGGGACAAGTCACTTCACTTTTGTGCCTTAGTGGCCCCATATGTGAAATGCAGAGAATAGTGATCAAATTATTCTGATTATAGCTTGGAAGCTCTTCCGGGCAGGCCCATCTTTTTTTTTTTTTCCCTCCCTGTGTCTGTACAGTGCCTAGCACAATGGGATTCTGGTTCATGACTGGGGCTCCTCGGTAGCCACAAAATATAAAGTTTGTGAAAAACGTCCTTCTCAGTTTGAAGTGTGCTGACTTTTACGTCAATTAAAATAATTCAATTGATCCAGCTATAAAAGATGTCTATTGAAAATCGTTTACATTCTCTATAATAAAACCCAAATATAAAACAAACTGACCCCCCCCCTTCTCCTCCCCTCCCACACACCAGTCAGGCAAATACAAAGACAGATTAGTAACAAATCTTGCACAAGGTCAGACCAAATAGCAGCAAAGAAAGCAAGCACTCACCTCACAGAGGTATTCATTTCCAAATAGTCAGATGATCAAGGATAATGTAAAAGGTTCAGATACAAAGCAGGGAGAAAGGCACCCCCTCACCCCAAAAAGTTATATGAAGCTTTTATTCTGGGAGCAGGGAAACAGTCCTGCACCTTAATATCCCAGCTGTCTTGTCTGTTTGCCTGGACTCCATTTCCGAGTAGAACACTCTGTACAGAACAGGGGTAATTTTAGCCTCCAAGATTGGAATTGCTCATTGCTTCGGTGGTCCACAGAGTGAAATAGGATCATCACTCCTTATACTTTGCTGTGACTTCCATTACTCTGAGGCACCCTAGCATTTCTGCAGTTCTGTATTTTCAGATTCAAACATCCCTCCTAACAAGCTCGTTAGCGTTAGGGTGTGTAAGCAGCACAGACAGACTGGTTTTATTTAACGACTTGGTTTGAGGACATCTCTGCCATTTAACCCAGAGGTGACGCCCGACGCAACCTGAACAGTCTCCAAAAATTCTGAAACAATTTTCTTATTTATTCTCTTTAGTTTTCTGTTAAAAGGCACTTAATGGCAGGCGATTTCAGCTGTGAACTAGGAGATATTTCCAAATGCACACAGCCCCTTTGGGAGAGGATACATTTAATCATTGCCATATGTAACCTTTAGGCACCCTACCGCCCAGTGGAATACACAACCCTGAGTTCGTTGTCCAGGCTCCCTATACAATGGACAGGGAAAGACAGGCATGCAAGAATGGGATTCACAGAAGCCAGCATGCTGTGTAGGGAGCTGCTTAACGCAGTGGCTCTCAACCATTCCAGACGACTGTACCTCTTTCAGGAGCCTGATTTGTCTTGCGTATCCCCAAGTTTCATCTCACTTAAAAACGACTTGCTTCCAACATCAGACATAAAAATCCAACACAAGTGCCACAGTACACGGTTACTGAAAAACTGCGGACTTTTTAATTGTTACCGTGTAATTATAAAATAAATCAATTGGAAGAAAAGTATTGTCCTTTCACTTCGGGGTAGAGTATATAGAGCAGTATAAGCAAGTCATTGGCTGTGTGAAATTTTAGTTTGTACTGACTTCGCAAGTGCTTTTTATGTAGCCGGTTGTAAAACCAGGCAAATATCTAATGACTTGATGTACCCCCTGGAAGACCTCTGTGTACCCCCTGGTTGAGAGCTACTGGCCTAGCCAGTAAGAAATCTGGAGGAGAGGGGTGCAGCTAACAACTCTGGGCCAGAGGGAGGTGCCTGTCGCTCCTTGGGATTCTCAGCCATGAACTCTCTCGGAGTTAGGCGTCTAAACCAGGTCAGCCCTTTCTCAAGAAAAAGCAGAGATGCCCACCCCATTATAGCCAATATCCCAGCAGTTATGGCAGCATGGCCCGTGCCATACAGGAGGTCAGACTGGATAATCACTGGGGTCCCTTTTGGCTTTGGAATCTATGAACTTAGGAGACCTGTTTTCAAATCCCCCCTCTGCCTGATTTGGAGCAGGGACTTGAACCCGGGTCTCCCATCTCCCAAGTGAGGCCCTAACCCCTCAGCCCTGGGATAGTCTGATTCCCCCCCACGCCCAAAAATTCCGATCTGATTGCCCCCAGCTGTCTTTTGTACACGGCCTGCTCCTGCTGGGGCCCATAGGTGGGATAGGCAAGGGACGCCTAATTTGAGAATCCTGCCATGGCTTAGGCAAGCTAAACATGTAGTTTAGCAGCATCAAGACGTAGGCACTTTTTGCACATGTCCACCCACACTTAGGTGGCTTGGGATTTTAGTTGCCTACCAGGTTAGGCAGTGGCTGAGTGGGTTTTTTGAGGATCTCAGTAGTGCCTAAATGTTGCATTTAAGCATCTGAAGTGGCAGTTAGGTGCCTAAATCTCTTTGTGGATTAAGCCCCGTGTCTAGGGGTTAAATCCGGGGGACTTCGAGTGATAATTTCTGGGTTCCATTATTTGTATTGCAATAGCACCTAAGAGCCCTACTCATGGGCCAGGACACCATTGTCTACAAACACAGAACAAAGACAGTTCCTGCTCCAAAGAGTTCACAATCTAAGTATAAGACAGTAGATGGACAGAGACAGGGGAGTACAAGGAAACATTACTGGTGAGCATGATAGATCACTGCCTATCAGCACACCAGCAGCTTAACGTCTGTCAAGCTTTTTGTAGGCATCATGGCAAAGGAGAGTTTTAAGGTGGGAACTGAAGAAGGACAAAGAGGTAGCTTTGTGGATGTTTACTGCGAGTTCTCCCAAGCACGAAGGTGGTTGTTTGAAAATTTAACAAGTGGTGATGGAGGCTGGCATCATGGGTGAGAGCTGACATTTTGACAGTGCGTCTCATCTTTGTTCATTCACTTGATCTGTTAACTTACGTAGGTCACTTAATGGCCCAATTCAGGAAAGCACTTAAAACATCAGCTTTGCAGAATCAGGCTTTCGGTCTCTCAGTTTTCCCATCTGTAAAATGGACCTTATACTCTCATTAGGTTTTGCAAGGTTTAACATTTATAAGGTGGTCTGAAAATAGCCGATATCTTGGCAATTCTAAAATATGTCGCGATAAGAAGTTCAAAGATGCACCTAGAGGAAGGAATAGGTATTCTCCTTTTTAATTGATGTGTATAAATCTAAATAGCTAAATAAATTCTAGATTTGTGGCTTTCAAACTCTTTGATGGTGCTTCCAAAAAAACAGCAGAGACTTCTCAGCTCTAGAGGTGTTTATTTAGATACTGCAGGTCGCATTGCATGTGTGATACAACATTACAGTCATTTAGTATTATACAACACAATTAAAAACTTTACAGTTCATTACAAAGTATCTTTGGATTTCAGCTCATTTAAAGTATATCGATCAACACTTAATCCACGGTCTAAATAGCCACTCTTTATATACAGACACACTGCATTTACAAAAATCAACAAAGACAAATTTCAAAAGGCTCTCCCAAGACATTTCAAAGGTTAGTGTTGATGATAAAGCAAAAGGTACTTTGACTGTAACAAGCCACACCATGGTTTACATTAGTCAGCTACTGGCAAATGCCTTGAGTGTGTTGGAAGGACAGGACTGAAACCATACTGAAGACAGAAGGTCGTCAGCCACCCTTGAAGTGTAGCAGTAGCCCACTAATTCATAACCTAACCGTTATTGCTGAGAGTAAGATGCATGTGTTAACTCCTTAAAAGTCAGCAGTGGGAAGGGGGTGTCATACAATGTATTCTATTAAGGAAAAAAAATGCCACCAATCAAAGGATAAGAGAAAATAGTGGGGAAGTGGCTGTAAAATGAACTTTCCCTACTATTCGGATATTTCTAGTATTTTTTCCAGGTTTCCCCTAGTCATGGGGAGCCCTCTCCATCCCTGCCCTTTCAGCAGTTTGTGGCCCAACAGCCACTTTCATCCACTTCATTATAAGAGCTAGATTTGGAATATTTAAACAGGTACTAATGGAGTCTTAAGCCAGAATAGGATGGGAGTTGACAGCAACTTTAGTCACAAGGCCTAGAGGCTGAAAGAGCAGCTTGGCACTTGTGGGGGAAGGAGGCAAGGAAGTGAGTGGCTTAGGCTTCGTCTACACTGGGGGAGGGGGGGCGAGAGAAAGAATAGATCTAAGTTACGCGAATAATGTAGCTGAAGTCGACGTACTTAGATCTACTCACCGCGGTGTCTTCACCTTGGTGAGCTGACTGCTGCCACTCCCCCGTCGACTCTGCCTGCACCACTCGCGGAGGTGGAGTACAGGAGTCAATAGGAGAGTGCTTGGGGGTTGATTTATCGCGTCTAGACTAGACGCGATAAATCAACCCCCGCTGGATCGATCGCTGCCCGCCGATCTGGCGGGTAGAGTAGACATACCCTTACACTTAACACACCTCCTCCAACATCCCAATCTCTTTTCACTTCCCACAGGTGCTTCAACTCCCTCTCCCCCTTACCTGTCTCAGCGATCCAGTTTACCCCAGTATATTTTCTTCATCTGTTTAACATGATGGGTGCAGGGAGTACTCTGAGGTGACGGCTACAACAGCAGAAGTCTAGTTATGTTGACCCTCGATCAACATAGCTGTGCTGGCAAAAGCCCTTAGTACAGATGCAGTTACACTGCCAATTCTGGGCTCATGCTAGTATAGCTTGTTCTGCTCAGGGAGAGCAGACGTTGTCCACGCTAGGAGCACTTTGCCAAGACAGCAGACCAGTAGACTTATTCAGGCAAAGTGTTCCTAGTATAGACATGGCCTTAGAGAGGAGGTCTCAGCTATGCACCAGTGGAAGTTGGTGCATGGCTGTGATGTCAGAGACCCAACTGGCACGCAGTGTTGGATGATCCAGCACCAGACTCAGATCAGACCCTCTCAATGATTTTGTGGTCTGAACAGGTAGCAGCTGCTAGAATCAGACTCAGTGACTCTACAAGTGAGAAATTAGGAGTGGGTAGCTGCTAGCGTCAAAGTCACCCCAAAGCACAGAAGGAAGTTGTATGTGTGTCACTGGCTCCAATCAGCTTGTATTTAGTCAGTCATTAATGATATCTGAGGTTTTCTTTGGTGGGGTGTGTGGGTTTGAGCAAGGTGGACAGCAGAACCCAATGCATGTAGTAGGAGCGGAAGTTTAGAGAACAAAAAGATGAATAAGGAAAAAACAGAATGGAGCAAGACACTTGTTGTTTGTAATCACAGCTGATCAAGCCGTTTGAATCCTATAGTGTGAATCACCTACACATTTACTTTAAACTATCATTTTAAATTACTGAAAAGCTACACACAAATGCTTCAGGCTAGTATAAAACTAGTCCCCTCCATTGGATTGGGTAAAGTCTGACGCAAAGATAAGGCACTGTTTAAATATATATTTTGTGCAAAGAACTAACAGTACCAGTGTAATGGCAACACAAGATCCCATGGAAGCTTTTCCCAGCCCCCAATGAACCCATCACACAGAAAGTTTTAATTTCATATAAATTTGCCTGTCTGATATGTAATAACCCAAGCTGGATTCTTGATTCATACAGAACACAAAAGAAAAAGATGATGAACATTTTAAAGTCAGCGACTGAGTGCATTTGTTTCCTGATGAGCAGCAGGTAAAGAATGGGATTCAACCCAGTTCTGAGTCACTGACAAATTCTACCTGCTCTTAAGGACTCTGTGGCTACACTACTGAACACAAACTTATCTTCATTCACTTTCCCACTAACAGAACATGTATTACAATTAGTGTGAATCAAGGCGCTCAAGAAGCCGAAGGTGATATTTCAACAAGGAAAAGGTCAAGACACCATGGGACAGCTGAGCTCTGATATCTTCTAAATAACACAGTAGAAAGTCTTGGCTTTGTTTTAAAAAACACAAGGATTCTTATGGCTGAATTGGGACAAAAACAACACATTTCAACCGCATAAAACATTGTACCATGTGCAAATAAAAGGATTTATCTAGTGGTTACCACACATTTAGACCATTACATTTTCTATTCTCTCTGAAATCTTAAATATGCTTTACGATTTCTAGAAACCCAGAATCATTCAAAACAGACCTATTGAACTTAAAAAGAAAACTTAAAAATGTAGCAGAGACATTACAGCAAATATTTGCTACAGATGTTTAATGCAGGAGCCATACCTTTTTTCCTGTGTAAAGTGCATGAAAGTCTTGCGAAAAATGTGCATAAAGTTATTTAATGCAACCAGCCTCAACTACGAATTGTTCCAGCACAATTTAATAAGGTTTTTGTATTGCTTTCATGATTTTTTTAGGGTATGCTTGGCCAACGTGAGGGTGGACAGAGCACTGACCTCAAACTCCTTTGAGTAAAAAACTATAATGAGATTTAGGAACTAACATTAGGACAAAGTCTGCTTGAGGAATGTCAACAGGAGGAGGATAATGGAGTTTGAGAGCTTCTGGTAAGATCCTCTCCTTGATTTTTTTTTTTTTTAAAAGAGCTTATAACCAGCAGTTGTAAGATGAAAATGATCTGGGTAGGAAAAAGTTCATCTGGATTAAATTTTTGGGGGGTAGGGACTGGAGTGGAATTGAACAATTCAAACATCAGTGTGGTGAAGATAGATCTATATCTATCTATCTATATACAAAAAAAATCAATGGGTGAAATCCTGGGTCCACTGAAGTCAATGGATGTTAGACTATTGACTTCAATGGAGCCAGAATTTCATCCTAACCATCTACTGAAGTGTGAGAGTTCTGTCACTAAAACACAGCTTCCTTATTCAAGATGAACTGCTGAGGAGAGCTCTCTGGGCATTCCTAAAACTGGTGTAAGGCCTTCTCCAAAGTAGGCTGAATATATGCTAGCAACAGCTATGTTTAAAGCACACTGTACTAGCACAATTTCTGCTATTGTATAACCCTACTGATATTTTGTAGCATAGTTTTGTAACACGATTAGGAAAAATATCCTGTTCATACAGGTTAGGGTTACCAGGCCAAAGCTCTAGTGGGTGGCAGAGTTTCTACCCTAGATCTTGATCCTTCAAACACTTCAGTAATGTCACTCACAAGCTAAAGTGTTTACACAATCAGAATCACAATGTGAACGTGGCCAAAAAGGAATGCATACTAGGTAAAATAAATAATGAAATATTCACCCAGCTTCCCTTTGCTTGGTCCCCAAATACTAGTGAAAGCACTGGATCAAATCTATGAAGATCAATCATTTAACATATAAAATCTTCACAGAGACAGACCGTGTCGGTAATATATGATGGGGCAAGAGAAAAGGGAATTAATAGAGGGTTAATAGAAAACATGGCTCTACCATTCACAACACTGTATGCTCCAAATAAGGGACCAATAAAAAGGACAAGTTAGGATTTTCCCAAATTCAATAAATGAAATGATGAGATTAATAAAAGCTAAATCAAGAAGATGCTTCACGGTAGCCAGCCATCTGTACCCATATTGGAAGAATAAAAGTGAAGCTCATTTGGAAAAAATGATTTTAGAGAGTTTTATAATGCCAGGCAATATTATGAGAAGTTACATTGGTTAGAGTGTACTATCTCATTGCAGAGTATTATAAAACTGATTAATAAAATAAATTATGTTATTGTTGCAGGTCACGTGTTTATGAAAAACAGTTATTCCTAAAATTAAATACAGGATTTAGCTTCTCCAGTCTTTGTTGCTAATTTCCCCATGTTTTCAGGCTTGAAAGGAGAGACATAGAAAAAGCTTTCCAACACTAGTCTAGTGGGTGGCAAACCCCTCTCTGACAACCCGTGTTGCAGCTTTGTGCAGGGGAAGAAAAAAAGTTGTACATTTATGAAAATCTTAAAAATCTGCCTGTACATTTAAATTCCTTTACAAAAACTTAGAAAAGAGCAGAACTATACAATGCTGATAGGAATGTACTAATGCCTGGCAACATTTAGAATGCTGTATTCTGACCCATTCCAAATTTTATTCCAACTACTGATTAGTTTCTATTTTAATTTTTATTCCTTCTGCATAAATTGATATTAATTACAGTCAATCAGCATAATTATCTCCTGCACTAAGCGTCCCTACCTCCTTTAAAGTTTACTTTGATGACAATGTATGTTTCCCTTGGATACCTGAACCAGATGGCTAAGGCACTTAGACACATCTGTGCAGCATGAGAGAGGCTGGATACATATTAAGTTTTAACCATTAATTTAGCATCCTGAATGTTCCTCACATAGATTATAAACATCTATTACTCAAAATTTCTAGTCCCTCACTATTTACTAAACAAAGTATAAGAAGCTCTGTATATACTGTACAATTAAGTCTTACTTTTTTCTTTACGTAATTTGTTAGAAAATATCTATATATGCCACAGGAAATTAAAAACGAGTGAAGGTCACCAAAGATAAAATCAAGTTTAAAAACAACAAAAGCCAGCCCAGTTCTCCCACCCTCCAGAAAAATGTTAGTTTTGAGGAAGAATGTGCAACCGTTCCAATAAAGTGATTTTAGGAGCAATCTCAAGAGGGTTTTGCTGGGTAGGCAGGAGCCTTTCCAAAAGGGAGGCTATTCAGTATGACGCTAAATAGAGCGCCTCTGTGCAATGGCAGGCAGTGGGCGATTGTGAAGCGCAAATATTTCATATTTTTTAAAACAATAAATAAAAATAAATACAACTGGATCATTCAGTAGGGGAACAACAAGCCTTCACTTTACGCAATCTGGTAAAATGCAAATGCCAGTGAAGGTTGTGCATGGTGCCCACATCTTTCTTTGTGAGTACGTCACCAACAGGCAGTACAGACGGAACTGGAAAAAGCTGTTATAAATACTGTAGCACTTTAGAGAACGCTGATATCTTTGCAAAAATCCTGAAGACAAACTAAAGAAACAACGAGAGCAATATTCCCCTGTGTCCAGGGAGGAAAGGAAGGTGAACAGATTCTATGTCCTGTTAAAATAACTACAATCTATTTAGTGGGTTAACTAAATTTGAATATGCCTTTAAAAAACAGGGATCAAAAGCCACTGATAGGGTAGAATCCCATTGATTTCAATAAGAGTAGAAAGACACGAACATTATTCAAGATAGGCACTGGTTCCAGGTCATGTAACCAAGTTAATTATTTTTGTTCTGTTTCCTTCGCAATATAACTTCTTTCTTCTTTACAACTGTATCCGTTTCTCATTATTGCCTGATACAGACACAGCTTTTCCAAAAGGATGGAGCCTTGCATGCTGTATTTTGATGTTTACAGAACTGCCAACCATGTTTAAGGAAGTATAGATGTTGTGGGTTGGGAAATCGCTCCAGTTAATTTTTCGCAGCTGCTGGAAACTCATACAATACTTTGAATCACTGATCTGGCAGTTCATTCTGTGAATGACTTAAAAGCAGCACCATTAAACCCCCTCCCACAACCTTCACTATTTGAAATAAGCCACACAATGAAGTGTCCCAATTTGTGTCAGGAGCCTAAACACACAGATCCATCACCATGACAAGGCAAAGATATAACATATCAGCAACAAAAGTAGAGAAAAACTCCTTCTTTAGTGTTTGCCAGAGCTAAGTTTACCAGGTTGGTTTAACGTTGCAAGCACATCCACTTCGGTGACAGCTTCACAAGCTATTTTCGAACCAGCTTGTGGGGCCTGTAAGCCTCGTTCAGTTAGCCCAAGATTTCCTGTTCTCTGCATTCTTCTGGATCTTCTCGGGTTGGAGAGCAGATCCTTCCATTTTGGCTAGGGCTGTCAGTGATGTCAGGCTGGAGGCTGACCCTGAGAAATTGTTGCTCTTCCGGTTCTCGGGCGTAGCTCCCCCTTGCAACCTAAGCCCAGCACTCCGCCGTCTTGCTGCTCCGGTGGCTTTTCCCACTCTGTTTGGTTTCACAAGGAGCCCATAGCCTGGGTTGCATTTGAAGTACTGCCTTCCTCCAATGGAGCCATCATTCTTACCTTTAACAAGAAAAAGAAAGATGCTACAAAAGGAATTTCTCCCTCGTGCACATATTTACTTATGACTACCCCTCATTTTAGAGAATCACTGGAGTCATCTGTAGGTCATTATAGCAGTGATCAGAAAGGATTCCATAAATTGACCTTCAGTCCATGGCACACCCAATAAAACTGAGTTATGAGCCAACACACTAAACTCCTGAAATCAGGTAGAAATGAATGCCGGGTGGCAATTTTCTGGAGATCATCAGTATGGAACTGAATGGGCCCATTAGCCTTTTTCTACCCTCCACCATCTAACGTATCTATTGTGGCCTGATTTTCAGACTCCGTGATAGACGGAAGTCAAAGGAAGCTGTAGGTACCATACCTTAGCACCTCTAAACATCAGGCTATTTGATTTTATTATTGCCGGTGCCATATCCACCCTCTCCATTGCAATCTGTCCACTACACAGGGCATTGCAATGCAGCTCCAAAATGCTCTGTTCCAGAAACCTGGACAATTACTATTATCCAAGAGGTTCCATTTGCCAAGAACTATCATGGATCATCAGAAGCATCCTTACATAGCACATGCTTCACCCTTGTGTCTTGACAGTTTCCCCTCATCCTAAGCACTCTAGTGCCAGATCACTTGGCCACTGGTGGGTACGTACGGTGGGTGCTGAAATCCCATGAGGTGGAGGATACAGCATTCTGCTCAATCCACAGTTTACTGTGACAAGATATGAACCTCTGTTCCTATTTCTTAAATTAAATTTTATAACAGAGAGGTGAATTTACTTTAGAAATAAACTATACTCCAACAGATGGGAGACATGAGATGAATTTTCCCCCACATATAGGGGATAGGGCAATCAAAACAATCTTTTCCCCTGACAGTCTGGCAGACAGTCATCAGCCATGTGTGAAGTAATGTACAAGAGCTTTAAGAAGATGAGAGACTGATTGGGAGCAGGGGAAACAAGTTAACTCCCTAGCATGTGGTATTGAAGCTGGAAAAAAGAGGCTTATAAACGGGGGCACATGGACTCTTATAACTGACAGTTGGGGCTGGAACTTTGACAGAAGTCAGAACCACAGATTGCTCTTTGGGACATGTAAGCTGTGGGTGTCTTTTCTGTAAAACTTAAGCCGAAAATGCTGTATCTGTTTAGTTTTTACCAAGCATAAATCCAGGTATGTTGAGACAAATACTTTATTTGGAATCCTCCTCTTTTTAATAAGCATTGTTTTATTGAAAGACCTGCTGTGTGTCTTGTGAGATGAGAGAGGGCAACGTCACCCAGTCTAGTCTCATAGGAGAAAGGCACCAAGGCAACCACATGGAGGGTAAAATTCTGGAACCTAGATACTCCACTCTTCGTGGACAAAGGCATGGTAAGGGGTCCACTATTCCCATGTCTGGCAAAAGATGAAAGTGTGAAATTTGCCAGGGGAGATCAAATAGGACAGAGGTGGAGGTGGCCTACTGGTAACACCAATTCTACATGTTCATTTGTATGTTTACAATCTATAAAAAGAGCACCCATGTGGTGCCCTTAGTAAATGTTAAAAAATTAGACTAAACAAACATGGTTGTCAATTCTCCCAGATCAAGTTAACCCAGTGACAATAAATATTGACCCCTTTTAATACCTAGATAGACTAGATCAGCATCACTCACCCTAGTCAACATCCATCTCCTCTTGGGCAAAGGAAAAAAGGTGCACCTTGAAGGCTAATAAACTTGGGCTGTTATGGCACTGAGGGGGAAGCAAATTCTAAAGGTTTGGGGCCTTAGCATAGAATGTTCTGCCCGCCAATCCCCTATCTTGTACCTTTATCTCATTTTTTTCAGACCACTCATGCTGGGGCCACCATTTCTCTGTTCCACATCCTCAACACACTGAGAACTGCTTGAGACCTACACATATTAACAGGCCTCCAGCAGGAGCAGCATCTTTTCCTCTTCACAGAGAAGCTTGCATCACCAGCAGCATCTTTGGAGGACTGACATTGCTACTCCTGACTGATCAGCACTTTTCAGATTGGAAACTGAACACCCCTCCTCTTCCCCCATTAAATGACCACTATTCCCTGGTGCTCGGTGCATGATTACTCCATGTTTTTATATATTTTTATATACATACATACACACACACATCTTGTGTGCTTTTGCAGTCCAGTTTTAAACAGCTTGGGAGAGATTATCCAACAGTTTAATGTACATCTCAACTTCTATTTAGTCCAAATTTTCCTTTCCTCATTTGCATTCCATGACTCCTGTTGCACTCACTCTGGTCCTCCCTAGAAAATTCCTCTTTCCTTGAGGTTTATACATTTATATACTTGTAGATTGTTAGTATTGGGCTTTGCAGGGGAAGGTGAGGATTAGCAGTTTGAATGATTCATCAGGACACAAGAAACCAATAAATTATTGAGGAGAGGGGGCTAGAGGGGGCTATGCGGTGAGATCAGAGACAGTCTACATTGGCAGGGGCACTCTGGGCAGACACATGTTAGTGAGAGACAGACTGAGGGAGATTCCAGTAATCAAGGTGAGATTTTTTTTTCTTGAATATCTAATCTACATAGCCTAAAACATTTCCCCCGATCATGAGTCCTCCCAGGTGTCAAATGTAATCTGCCTGTTATGAATAGATATCCAAAGCTGTTTAGTATTTATCACATTGCAACCTGCCACAGAGCATATCTTACCTGAAGGCAAATCGAGTTCCACACCAACCCATGTTCCCTCTTGAAAGTCAGTTGGGCCAACATATCTAATTGTGCCTGTCTTATTTGTGCCAACAGTGACATATTCTCCCTCTTTTAGCCATTCTGGGATTTCATTGGCATCTTCAGAATCAGAAGCCGCTTCCAGTTTTTCATCAGCTGTCTCCGCACCATTATGGCTCAACCCTTGTGCAGTCACCCGGTTCTTTTCTCTCTCCTCTTCCTCTGGGCTTGAAGAGCACCCAGACTCTCCCCCCAGCATGCATGTAAAAGATTTGAGCTCAGATGTCCTGACTTTTTGGATTTTGAATGGAGAGGCTGTAGCGTTGGGCTGGGACAAGAGGTCAGGTTTGGAAGCTCTCGATTCTGAAGTAGAGGCGGGCTTTGTGTGGTCCTTTTTCCTGGCAGCTTGTCCCACTGACTCTCCAGTTGTTGAAGCCATTAGCTGTTTGGTCAGCAGCTCCTTCTTTGGGATGGAGGTAGAAACGTAGCTTTTCGCATCAATGGCTACAGAGGCAACATCTAGTTCTTCACTCTGAGTCACAGGGGAGACAAAGGACTTGGACTTTAGGTGCTCATTACCATTCACGTCGCTGCTGTCCTTAGGTCTCACATGGGCAGTGCTGAGGTCAGAAGCAGCTTGATTATCTCTTTTAACAGCAGGGTAGCCCTCTGAAGTGCACTCTGTCTGCATTGAAATGTCAGTAGCAGAAGTTACCTGAACAGCTGGGGTGGGTGGGGAGATGTTGCTCACTGCAGATGTTTGACCACCTGTCTGAACAATCGCTTCATTCCATGCAGTGAGCGCTTCAGACAGAGTCGCTGTTGAAACACTGTGAGAAAAGTAACCACTTGAGGCTTCACTCAGGGGACTTGGAGGGCCCTCTTGGGAGTCCTGTGCCTGAATGTCTGCGGTGTGCTGCTGTGAAGGCACTTTGGGCATCTTTTCTTGGTTCTTTTCTGCCTCTGTAGCTTGCCTGGCCATTTCAAATGGTTCTTTCCCCCCTTCTTGTGCCTCTGTAGCTTGCCTGGCCATTTCAAATGGTTCTTTCCCCCCTTCTTGGTTAATCTGAAAAGATGACAAGCATGGGTTATGGTATTCAAAACATCTGGGCTGATAATGCTGACATATGGCCTTCTGAAACTATCTAAACCTCCGGTTTATCCAAATCCCTGCACATTTGCAGAGCTGGACTGGTGCTTGTTGATTTATAGCCATCTTTACAAACCTGGTGGGATTATCAGTGCATTTCTTCCATTAATAAAAAAATAGTGTCCAGCAAAAGAAATACGTTCCCCAATATTTACTGAAAGATTATTTATATCACAGGAATGGTCATTTGCCTTTTGAACGTCAGGATTTATTTGAAATGTGAAACAGCCATGATCTATAAGTCTCTTACAGTTATTTGGCTTAACTCAGGATTGATAAATCATGCATTTCTAAGTAAACTGTCATTTATATCCCCGTTTCCAAATGCCATTCCCCTCTCAATACTGCCACCACCACATACTTTCCGAGTATGAAATTAACTGCACCACCGAGATTAACAGCCCATTTTAGTGATGTATTTCTTGGCTGTACAGTTTACTATATAAGATGGATCAATATCTTTTGCCAGCAAATGTACTCTAAAAGATTAGGATGTCTTTAAATCGTTTTTCGGGGGGGGGGGGGGGAAGCATGAGGAAGGCAAACTTGTACATATTCTGTTTACTAACTCACCAGTGTTTATTTTTGTTTTCTGTTCTAAATTAGTATCCGTTGGAGTGGAAAGTTACCTTGAATTTTCAGATTTAGAGAGACAAAGTGGGTGATGTAATATCTTTTATTAGACCAACTTCAGTTGGTGAGAGACAAGCTCTGGAGCCAACAAAGCTCTTCTTCAGGTCTGGGACAGGTACTCCCAGCATCACAGCAAAATACAAAGTGAAACACATTGTTTAGCATAAGTAGTTAGCACATGTTGTAAGGGACTATTCAAGGTACAGTGGCCTGTTAATACCTCTGCAGTCACAGGACAAAAAGAGAGGGTTACTGGATCACAGATTTTTCCAATAAGCCCTAAATACAGTGTCTCTGTTCAGTCCATGATTTGTACCATCTAGCAGAGTAATGAATTTAAGCTCCCAAGCTCCTCTTTTGAAAGTGTTGTGCAGGTTTCCTTTCAGGATGAGGGCTGATAGGTCAGCTATAGAGTGATCTAAGCGTTCACCACAGGTGATGTGTTGTTTTTGCCTTTTATCATTTTCCTGTGTGAGTTCATTCAAGAGCATAGCGATTGTCTGGTTTCACCCACATAGTTGCTATTGGGGCATTTAGCGCACTGGATAAGGTGTACCACATGTTGTGATAGACATGATCCATCAATCATCCATCAAGGTGTGCCATGGGGAAGGGGGAGTTCCAACGAAAGATTTCATAAGCCATATGCTGACTGAGTGTAGCAAGTAGCTTTCTGTGAACAAATTAATTTCTTTTTCAATCTGAAAGCCAAGATTTTTTTAAAATTCCTTTCATAATCTAGAGACCTATGACATTGTCTCACCCACCTTTTTGTTTCTTTTCAAGATATTTTCTAGTGCTTTGCCCAATCTAGTTTTAAGTGTCCCAAGTGATGGGACTTTCACTCTCCCTTGAGGAGACTGTTCTAAAGGAAACATAAGTGGCATTTAGAGAAAGCAGAATTTGATTGAATTACTGGTGCGTCAGAATCAAAGGCTAGCCTTCTACTGCTGAGTGAAATGTACTACAGAAAAGTTTCTGAAAACGTTATGGTCAATTAAAATATATTTTTAGCTCTTTTATGGGGACGGGTGCTGTACTGTAGATTTAGACGCTCTATCCTTTCCTTGGGTTTTCCTTTTTACATAAGCTTTAACACACATTTTGTTAAGACAATATAAGCACAAGAGGAGAAAACTGATCTGCTACTCATAAGATTGAAATTCTGCTGAACTGTGGGAGATCATAAGAGTGTTTTCTCTGCAGGTTAGTGCTAGTCTTTTTCATGTTGATATCATGAATTAGAATGAAATGTAAAACTGAGAATCACATTAAACGTTCAGAATAAGGGATACATTCTGTTTATAGAAAGCACCCCAGCCCAGCAATTTGCCTTTTAAAGCAGTAGGCAGCTAAACTTACCTGCTAGTGCAATCATATGATTAGCAAGGTTTTCAAATATAAAAGTGTAACAAGCAATATAAGAGGAGAATTTAGCGGGACATAAAAAACCCATTCCAACCTACATTACAGTTAATTGTCTAAGCAAAGCAACAATAAAAATGGAAGAGGTTTGACGTAAGGATGCCAGCAGTAGCGTTTGAATACAACACTGCTGCTGTTTCCATTGGTTTCCAGCTACAAGATATTGTGGACAATGTAGTGTGCCTACCTGTTTTAACTTTGTAGCACTGGCATCAATGCTGGCAGACTGAACCATAATTCGTGGGACAGGCTGCAGGAGAGGGGGGAAAAAAACAGCATTATTCACTTAGAGGATTAAATATTGCTGAACTGGTTTAACTGAAGAGGGAAACCTTTAAAATATGTATTGAAAATTCTGGGATAACAAATGGTCTTTAGGGACAGACAAACGGAGCTTTGCTTTTTTTTAAAATGGGCTCTGCTGACCCCCACTATACCACGAGGGGACAAATGAATGTTGTCTTAACCCAGGTAAGGAGAACGTCCCTGCATTTCCACACACACGCAACAGCGTGAACTACATAGGGTAAGGTTTTAAAGTGTAAATAAAAAAGATTGTTGTGGTGTGGCCACAGAACAGCTGTTTCTCTGCCAGACTGACCATTGAACAGATCAAGGTTGGAAGTAAAAGGAAGAGGAGTTGCCTATGCTACTTCAGCTGACATCACTGAACAAGCAGGCAGATTCGCTATTAGAAGTGGCCAAAATTCAACAGAGATTTCAACCTACCTATGTCCCCTGCCAAAATGTTCTCCCCGTCTACCACGTGAGTCTTACAAGATTTTCAACACTGCGCGCTCTATCTCAGTCTGTAAGAAACATCTACAGAAGTTCCTTTTGAAAAGAGGCACCATAACTTACAACATGCAAAATGCTAAACTGAAAAATATGTGCAAAGTGGGTGAGGTTCTCTCTTTTATTGGACCAACTTCTGTTGGGGAGGAGAGAGAGAGAGAGAGAGAGAGAGAGAGGCTTTCGAGCTTACACAGAGCTCTCCTTCAGGTCTGGGAAACTAACAATGTCACTGCTAAATACAAGATTTGAACAGATTGTTTAACATAAGTAGTTAACACATATTTCAAGGGTCCATTCAAGGTGATGTTAACATCCCTCCAGTCATAGGGAGGAAAGTAGGGTGGGGGGGATCAAGTTTGGCAGGGGGAGGGAGGGCGGGGGATTGTTAATGGGTTACAGATTATTGTAATAAGCCATAAATCCAGTGTCTGTTTAGTCCATGATTTGTACTGTCCAGCAGAGTAATAAATTTAAGCTCCCAGGTTCATCTTCTGAAAGTTTTGCACAGGTTTCCTTTGAGGATGAGGACTCATAAGGTCAGATACAGAGTAATCACTTTGTGAAAAGTGTTCATCTACAGGAGATGAGGTGTTTGTCTCTTATTTTCCTGTGAGTTCATTCGAGAGCATAGTAATTGTTTGGCTTCCCCCACATAGTTGCTATTGGGGGCATTTAGTGCACTGGATGAGGTACACCACGTGTGGTGATAGGCATGTGCAGGACCCATGGATCTTGAACAGGGCCAGCTCCAGGCACCAGCTCAGCAAGCAGGTGCTTGGGGCGGCCAACGGAGAGGGGCGGCATGTCGGGCTCTTCGGCGGCAAGTCCCTCGGAAGGACCTGCCACCAAATTGCCGCCAAAGAAGAAAGCGGCGAGGTGGAGGTGCCGCCGATCGCGACCTTTTTTCTTTTTTCCCCACTGCTTGGGGCGGCAAAAACCCTGGAGCCGGCCCTGATCTTGAAACATGTATTGTGGGGGGTGTTGATCATTGTAGCAGTGGAGATATGGTCTGCAAGGTTTTGCATCTGTTGTTCTGGCAGCGTCTGGTGCTGCTTTGACTTGGTGTGTCCTGGTCTGTGGGGAGCTTGCTTCTGATGATGAGCTTGGAGAGGTTGGGAGGTTGTTTGAAGGTCAGAAGAAGGGTTCAGGAAAAATTTATTTCAGGATGGGGTCCCCACTGTGTGGGTTGTACTTGTTTGATGATACCCTATATGGGTTCCAGAGTGGGGTGGTAGGTGACAACTAGAGGTTCGTGGTCAGAGGGGATTTTATTTCTGTATTGAAGTAGGTTCTCTTGGGGTATTGGGTGGCCCGTACCTCATCCAGTGCTCTAAATGCTCCAAGAGCATTGTCCCACATAAGAACATAATGAGAACAGATGGAAGGGAGAAATGCTTGGAACGCCTTCCTTACAGCTGGGAGCTCCAGAAGGTTGATGTGCATCCTGGATTCCCGCGGGGTCCATGTTCAAATGTGTCATGTGCTTTCCCATGTGCGCTCCTCCACCGTTCCAGGGACGAGTCAATGATGATCATTCTGTCCGGGGAGGATGGGAGAAAAGGGATCCCCACACAGACTTGTGGGTCCCTCCATCACTGGAGGGATGAGAGTACCTTGGGGGGAAACTGTCAGCAGAAGGTTCATGGCATGTTGCATGGGTGAGTAAACTCTCTCAAGCCACATCTGGAGGCGGCGAAGGTGAAGGTGGTGATGTATGTGCCTGAGGCCATGTGGCCCAGAAGGGATAGGCAAATCCTGGCTGGGACAGGAGGACTGTTGGCTCCGCGGGTGACGAGTTCTTGCAGAGACAAGAATCTGTCCCTTGGTAGGTACGTTTGTGCTGTAACTGAGTTGATGGAGGCCCAGGGACTGTGTGGGGTCCAAATTTGATTGTTCAACATTTATGCTGACTCCGAGGGAGGAACAGAGTCTGCGCAACATGGAGGTTGAGATCTGGGTTTTGTCTCTGGATCACACTGCTAGCAGCCAGTGTGAATACAAGGATCCCATAATGCCTGAGGTGGGTCACCATAACAGTGAGAACTTTGGTGAAGACCTTGGGAGCAGTGGTGAGTCCAAATGGCAGGACCCTGTATTGAAAATGCTATGGGCCTACTGTGAACCTCAGGAACGATGTGTGGGTCAGATCAACTCTATGTGAAAATAGGTGTTCTGCATATCGAGAGCCGTAAACCACATGCCTTCTTCCAACGACAGAATGATGGCTGCTAAGGTGACCATACGAAACTTGGATTTGCGGATGAAGTGATTGAGACAACAGAGATCCAGAATTGTTTTCCATGCACCCTTTTTTTGGTATTAGGAAGTAAGTTGAATAGAACCCTGTTATCTGATAATCCGGAGGAACCCACTCTCTCTCACCTCCTTGTAGGAAGAAGTCTACCTTTAGGGTGAGGATGCTGTCTTGAGAGTGGTCCTTGAGGAGGGATAGGGGAGGGGGTTGTGGATGAGGTAGTGTGATGAACTTGATCGTATAGCCATAATGGATGACATTTAGCACCCACTTGTCCATTATTATTGCACTCCAAGCTGGTAAGAAGACCCCCGAAGAGGGTGGGATAGTTGTACAGCAGTAGGCAAGGTAGTTGACAGCTCTCATGAGTTTCTCAGAAATCTCTTTTCTGAGGGGGTTGCATGTGTGATGAGGAAAGCTGTGAAGGCAGACCTGGAGGACGAGATCATTTGGTCTTCTGGCTCTTGTGTGGTGGTTCGTGAGGCCTTTGGTGGAAAAACTGGGAAGTCCTGTACTGCTGTGTGGATGGTGGGTGATAGAATTTACGCTTGGATGCGGGTGTGTAGATACCCAGCGAAGAAACTGTGGCTCTTGAATTCTTGAGGGTGTGGAGGGAATCATCCGTTTTCTGATTAAAAAGATGGGATTCATCAAAAGGGAGGTCCTCAATGGTATTTTGTACCTCCTGGGCAAACCAGAGGAATTAAGCCACGATTCCCTCCGCATGACAATGCTCGTAGCCATCGAGCACGAGGAAGTGTCTGCCTTGTCTACAGCTGATTGACGCACTGTCCTTGCCACCAGTATGCCTTCCTCCAAGATTGACTGAAACTGGACTCCATCTTGTTGAGGTAGTTTTTCAGCAAAGTCCTCCAGTTTGCTGTAGTTCAGGAAGTTGTATATGGCAAGCAATGCTTGATCATTCGAAATCCTGAACTGGAGGCTAGCTGAGGAGAAGATTTGTATCCCAGAAGGTCCAATCCGCTGGAGTGGAATGTGGAAGCTGCTGTTTGGACCGCTCCGTCGCAGCCTGTACCACAAAGGAATGGGGGTGTGGAGTGAAAAAAGAAACTCAGACCCCTTAGCTGGTACACAGTATTTCTTTTCTGCCCCCTTGGAGGTCGGTGCACATGTGGCCGGAGTATGCCAAATTGTTTGAGCTGGTTGGAGGATGGCATTGTTGACTGGCAGAGCAACCTGGTACTGATGAGGGAAGGATGTGCAGGAGTTGATGTTGTGTGTCTTGTACCTCCTCCAAGGGGATGTGAAGTTCACCCACCATCCTCCGCAGGAGATCTTGGAATTGCTGAAAGTCATCTGGGGTGAGAGGGAAGACGAAGTCTCTGCAGCATCTGATGAGAACAACAAAAACCGTTCTGCTCCAGCTGTGCCGCTGGAACCGGATTCAGTGGTTCCTCCTCCATGATTGGCTCGGAGCGTCTACTTGAGGGTGCTCTAGACAGGGAGAGAGGAAAAGTCTCCCTCACAGAATGGGTGAGTTCTGAGGGTGGGTATTGGGGCCAGAGTCCAGAAAGGGGGCCAGCATGACAGATTTGGAGGGTGCTGCGGTGGGCCCCAGGGCATAGGGAACCAGTGGCTTCTCTGTGGTTGGAGTGGAGGATATTGTCACGATGTGGATGGCCTCTTCGGGTACTCTTAGTGGTGGTAAGGGATGGGCAGCCCCTGTACTTCATCCGAATCCCCTGAATAGGAAAATTCAGACACTGGTTCCATCAATAGTACTATTGAAGCCAGTGGAAGCAGTAGACCGGGCTGGGCAAACTATGGCCCGGGGGCTGCCTCTGACCTTTCTGATGTTTTAATCCGGCCCTCGAGCACCCGCTCCGGCGCTCCAGCCAGGGAACGGGGTCGGGGTTTGCCCCACTCTGCGCGTGCCGTGACTCCATGCGGCTCCCGGAGGCAGCGGCATGTCCTCCCTCCGGCTCCTACACATATGGGCAGCCAGGGGGCTCCGCACGCTGCCCTTGCCCCAAGTGCCGCCCCTGTAGCTCCCATTGGCTGGGAATCGAGGGCAATGGGAGCTGCAGGGACAGCACAGTGCGCAGAGCCGCCTGGCTGCGCCTCTGCATAGGAGCTGCTTGAGGTAAGCACTGCCCAGAGCCTGCACCCTGCCCCAGCCCTGATCCCCCTCCCACCCTCCGAACCCCTCAGTCCCAGACTGGAGATCCCTCCTGCACCCCCAACCCCTCATACCCAACCCCACCCCAGAGCCCACCCCCACAGCCAGAGCCCTCACCCTACCTCCTACCCCAGCCTGGAGCCCCCTCCTGCACCCTGAACTCCTCATTTTTGGCCCCACCCCAGAGCCTGCACCCCACCTGAACCCCAACTCCCAATTTCTTGAGCATTCGTGGCCCACCATACAACTTCCATACCCAGATGTGGCCCTCGGGGCAAAAAGTTTGGCCACCCCTGATGTAGACTATTGGAGGACGCAGTGAAGGGTGTCTTGACTGCGGCATGTCCTGGATAGGAGATCTGGCCTCCCTAGAGGTGGATGGTAGCAGAAGGCATGGAGATCTTGGCTCTCCCACAGCAAACAGTTCCTGGGGCTCCGGAGCCCTTCCCGATTTCCCTGGCCTTAATGGTACTCTTTCTACAGTGGGAACTGGCACCAGAGTGGTGGACTTTCCCGGAGTGGGCGGATCCCGTACCTTAAGGGGGGCCGACATTGACGGTGTGTTGGGCTCGGTACCTGGTACAAACAGATCTGCTGGTTTGTGTGGATTCTTGTCACGTTTATGCATCTCTGAGTGCGCTGCTTCCCCATGGCTGGTGCTTGTTGAAAAAACATCCCATTTCTTTGGTTTGGAGGAAGACTTACTGCCATGTTTATGTGCATGCTTCCTTACCTCCAGACTAGGCCCCGACATGGAGTCCATAGTGGTGGTACTGACAGAGCCAGACTCAGTCTCCATAGCCAGCAGCGTTAATCCTGGCTGTATCAGACGATGTACAGAGGAGTTCCTCAGCCTCGGTCCAAATGAGGTTTTATGGTGACTTCCATGAGATGCTTCTTGAGGCAGAGAGCCCACTCTTCTCAGGTATGGCTAGGGAAGGACTGGCAGATACTTCACCAGGATGAAATGTGGGCTTCTCCCAAGCAGCCTAAGCAGCATTGATGTTTGTCGCTCACCAAAGAGGAACACGGGCAGGAGGCACAGATTTTAAAGCCTAGGATCTTCGGCATAGTCCAGTAATCGTGTGTATGTGTGTTGGGTGTTTACCCAGAAACAGATTCCCCCAAAGTCCTAATTCTACTCCAAATAACTACTAAAACAGTAAAATAGCATAGGACTACTAAAACTATATACTGTACAACTAAACTCTTTTTAAAAGGTATGTCACACACAAGAGGACAGTGATAGTTTTGATCTGGATCATGAGGCGGTGAGAACGAACTGGCGACATGGTTGGTCTGCCCTGCCCTTTATCATCTTGAACGAAACCATGAGGCGAGGCAAGGGCACATGTGTGGACCAGTGGAGACTACTACTTGAAAAATCTCCAGCTCTGAAAGCATGGTACGCATATGTAAACCCTCAGTGGAATACAAAAGGGATCATCATTCGAAGAAGTGAGAACTACTCCCATTCATCTCTTTGAAGTAATGATTATTTAATTGTTGTCACTGTTAACTATTTCACTTCTGATCAAAGCATATTAAAAAGGAAAGGGACTATCTTTAAATTATGCATAAGATCTGCAGTTTTTATGGTGAGCAATGGCTCATTTTGGCGTCATAAATCAGGTGGCATTTAGGAGAGTATCACCTCTCCACCCACCAACCTGATCCCTGGAACTAAAAGGCATGGAGTAAAGCCCAGGAAGTCATCTGAGCCTCACCAAGGAGGACCCAATCTGGCAGAGCCCAGCAGGGCACCTAACCCTCCTCACCCCCAACCAAGCTTGGTCTCCTCCACAACAGCAGGGCCTGGTCTGATTGGTGTGAAGCCAGGTAGCCCCCTCCCTGGCTTTAATGGCAACTGCTCCTCCCTCTGCTGGAGACTGTCTGCATCTGAACCTCTCTGAGGGGGAAGCCAAATCTGGGGAACCCACCAGAAGATTAGTAATCATATTTAACCTCTCTACTCCTTACAATCTACTATGAGCGGCATCTCAAGCAGGAGCAGCTAGGGAGAATGGCATCATTTTTCCCTCCTCGTTCCTGGCTCAACCTTTCAAGTATTTACTAGAGCGTAGTGCTTACCACTGAGAGTTATAATTATAAGTCTACACAAGTATTGCTAGTGATTTAGGGTCTTGGAGAGGCAGCGTGTTCCAACAGATAGGCAGTCTATTCTCTACTCTGGAAGTGACCTCATGTGGCACAACCTCTGCCTCAGTTTCCCCATCTGTAAAATACAGATGTTACAATATACTCTTTTGGAAAGTGCTTTGAGGTCTAGGGATAAAAAATGCTATAGAAGTGATCACAATGATCTTAAATAGTTTTCTTATTTTGATATTTCCCAGTTCCTTTATTTTTAGCATTATTCACCTGGCCTTCAAAAAAAACAGAAAACCCCACACTTTCCTGTATTTTATCAAAAACCGTCAGTCTTACAGCATGTAAACCCATAAAATGTAAAAGCCTTGTTATCAAACAACAAAAGAAATAAAACAGTTATACTTTAATCATTCCCCATCAACTGCTAAAATACCATTCTCTTCCTGAAAGCATGACACACATAAAAACTCTTAAGATACCTTTGCCAGACAACTTTAAAAGAAGTATGGAACAAAAAAGCAATTATAAAAAGTGGCACTTAACCAACTTTGCTGTTGACAGGAAACAGATAGGTAAGATGCTTTTTACTCTCGTCGGGTAGTAAAGGTATTAAAACAAATATTTGTTATGAACTGTGGTCAAGTTAGTGGGGGGGAAAATAAGTATTAATGCAATTTGTTATAATAACTTGTTTGTGAAAAGACATGCACTGATGAAATATAGGTCTCTGTATCCAGCGCCACATTCTGTATTCAAATGCATAAGCATAGTTCCCACTGAAGTAAAAAGTGGCTGCACATACATCTGAGAGGCAGAATTTGGTCCTTGGTCGATTCATAGAGATAATTTCTGGCATATGATCTGCAATGAATTGACAAACCTGGACTGAAAGAGAATGTCAAAGCACCCAGTTTGGTAATAGGTTCACAATAAGAGTTGCTAAACACAATTTGGTTTAGATTTTATAAAAAGAGAGTTATTCATGTTAAAAATATAAATAATAAATAAAAATAAAAAATAGGATATTTGGAGACTTCACAGCTGGGTAGCCAATCACTATATTGTGACCTAGAAAAATCTAGTATATGTGTCCTATTAAATAGTTCTCTAGTTCATACATTTAAATAGCAGATGAATTCTAACAATTAAGAGATTTACAATGATAAAGAAATATTAAGTCACTTCTTTAAAAAGTTGTTTGAAAGGAGATAGGATGGCTTTGGGGACTGGTAATGAGAAACAGAGCTTTTCAACTCTAGATCACTGGATTAAATCCTAAAATGCTTAGGTTTAAGCATGTGATTAGCCCCACTGAAGTTAACTTTAAGCACACAAGTAGACCTATTAAACACATACTTATGTGCTTTGCTGGACTGAGGCTGGAGTGCTCCAGTTCTTACTATTAATCTGGGGCTTGATTCTGCAACGTTTGTAAACCTACGTGAAATGAATTGGACTGAGAACACCAGATCCCAGCAGGCAGGTGATCATATCACAAAAACCTGCACCATAATAGGCACTTGTTTGCCCACTCACTGTATCAGAAGAGAGGGCAAGGACTGATTGGGCCAGGGATCCTAGAATTACCCTCCAATTTAGAGGTTGTCCCTTGAGGTCATGGTTAAAGCACACTAGGAGGGCACTAATCAGAGTCATGGTTAAAGCACACTAGGAGGGCACTAATTCCATTGCTGTTGCCTATGCTGCACCTTCTCTCAAGATGGGGATGGACTTCAGCTGCAAGGATTATCAGTCTGACAGTACTACATTCACACAGCCATTTCAAAAAAGCTACTGCAAAATTGTTTCCTGGGGTATAACATGCAATAATAATTTCATTACATGTAAATTAGTCAGTTTGAGAACCTAAGATTTACTTTCATGAGCTACCCCCACGTATTTAGTGCAAAATTAAATATACATTGTTTTTTGTGCAATTAATTTATTTCATTCCCAATTCCAAGCAAAAAGATTAAAAGGGAAATTTGTAACAAGATTTTTAAAAGTTTCAGATTTTTTTGAGTTTCACTCGTTTGCTTTAAAAAATTAGCTTTACATAATCATTCTAATTAAAACTGTATTTAAAAGGATGATCTTGGAAGCTGAATTAGGCAAGAAACTGAAGCCTTAACAACTCAGTCAACAAGAATTAGATGCATATTAGCTCAGTTGGCCATGAAGGATCTGTTGAGCCGTGCTGATTAAAGAACACAAATTATTATTAGAAACCCTGAAAAAAGCCTTTTAGACATACGTTTAAAAAGGGGTTTTCTGATGTCAAATTATTTATATTTGATTAGGGGACAGAATTCCTTTTAATCATGCTAAGCATCATGCACATCTATGGCACTACATAAATAATTGTATGTATGCCAGAGAAAGCCTCTCTGGGTGGGTTTCATTAATTGCAGTTCATTATTTTCTAGATTAGTTACTAAACCTGTGTCAGAAGGTCAAAGACAACAATTTTGTTAGCTGCCCTCCTCTCCTGTGCCATACCGCTGCATTTCTGGAACACAACCAGACAGCAATGAATTATGACATTAGAATACAGAAACTCAGACAAGAGATTCTCCTATAAGGGAGCAGTGACAAAAATACGTTTCATTTCAGCAATATGCTAACAAAATCTATTCACCTAGGCACTCAGATATTTCTATGCCCCCCCCCCATATTAGTATCTAGAGAGAGCAAGAAATGAGTCTTCAGAAATATTTTAAAACCGTTGAATAAGTTCACACTGGTCTGAGGAGTCTGCTTTTGCCACTGCAATGATAAAAGGTATGGACTGCACTTTGATATATACATTGTAAATACCAACACACAATGATAACTTAAAATGCCATTATATGAGCAGTTCAGAGAGACCAAAATGGTCACAGCGTGAAGAATAATGTCTTGTTCAGACTATGGAATCAACAATACGCTAATAAAGAAATAAGGCTTCAATTGCATGCACATAATATAATTAAGCATATATATAGCTAGAAACTAGAAAGATGCAACCCTCACCTCTTCCTCCTCCACACTTGTGGAGTTTAAAATAATTAATTCTCCCCCATCAACAATAAGAATGGAAAAAGCCATAAATTCTGCGTGTGGCCTCACTAACTTGTTTTAAGAATGAACAATGGAAAGTAAAGAGCGAGTCAAATAATCACAAATGGTTAAAGAATATAGCTGCTTTTTAATTTACAAAATACTGGCAATGAATTTAAAGGCACCAGATTAGTCAGAGAGAATGTGTATTTTCTAACTTTAAAGTATATAAACAGCTTCATCAGCAGCCAATCTTTTAGGTATATAAACAGCTTCATCGGAAGCTGATCTGCTAGTTACATGAAGAATCCTATTATGCCAAATTAATTCAATCTAACTAATTAGAGAGCAGGAAGTTCTTTCAATTATTTTATGTGCTGTCTGAGAAACACACTTGAATACGAGAGCAGATTTCATTAATTGCGGTTCATTATTCTCCAGATTAGTTACTAAACTTGCATCAGAAGGTCAAAGACAGCAATTTTGTCAGCTGCCACCAGCTTCACAGTAATGTCTTTGCATTTCTAGAACCCAGACAGCAATTGATTACAAACAAAAAATGGAACTGGAAGAGACCATCTTGCTAAGGAAACACATACAAAAACGTATCTTACTTTAAGGCAGATGCCTACTTAAGCAAAAGCATATCGAGGAAATAAGAATCTACTGTTGAGATAATTTTTGATAATTTTCAGAACAAGTACTCAAAACCTTCTGTTTTTGCTGTAGATTAATATTAGAGCTTTTCAAATTATGGCTTCATCCAAAGAAAATATGTTGAGCTTTGGGAACACACACACACCCACTCTCTGAGGCCTGCTTAGTCATGGCGACGAAGAGGTACTCACCTTGTGCAGTAACTGGAGTTTGAGATGGGTGCTCCACTTCAATTATGCACCTTTGATTGGAGATTTTTGGCAGTAGTGGCCATTTGGCCTGCGCACATGCACTACACACCCTGGTGTTCTGCACCAAGAACATACAGGGCTGTACAGGCAAACTGCCCTCAGTTCCTTCTCCACCAAAGCATCCTGTAGAGAAAACTCCAAAACAAAACGGAGGGACACTCATCTTGAAGAACTCCAATTATTGCACAGGGTGAGTAACCTCTCCTCCTTTGAGTAGTGTCCCTAAGGGTGCTTCCCTTCAGCTGACTTCAGAGCAGTATCCTCAACAGGAGGAGGGAGCTTCAGAGTCGAGTCCAATACTGAAGAGAAGACTGAATTCCCAAAGACAGCATTTGATCGGGAAGAATGAACCACTGTGTGGCACTTGGAAAATGTATTTACTGAAGACCAAGTTGCAGCCTTGCAGATCTCAACAATGGGAACAATGTCGGAGAGGTAGAGACAGACCTCATGGAATGGGCTAATACTCTAAGAAGAGGTAAACTGGCATATTCATAAGAAGAAATAATACACCCTGAAATCTATCTGGCAAGTCTCTACATGGAGATGTTGGACATTTGGACCTGTCAGCTATTGACACAAACCGTCTTGGAGACTTTTTTAAATGATCCGGTTCTGCTCAAATAAAAGGCCAACACCCACCTGATGCCTAGGGTATGCAAGGCAGCATCATCCCTGCTCTGGTGCCGTTTCAGGAAGAAAATTGGGAAATGGATGACTTGATTGATATGAAATTCAAACAATACCTTAAGTAGAAGTTTAGGATGTGAATGTGATGAGACCACCTTTCAAGGACACTATAAAGAGAGGATCCAATAATAAAGATCCCATTTCCCCAACTCTTCGAGCAGAAGTGATGGTCACCAAGAAAGCCATTTTCATGGATAGGTGAAGAAGGGAATAGATTTGAAAGGGGATTTCATAAGACATTTGAGTATGAAGTTTAAATCCCATACAGGAGTGGGTTCTCTAATGCAAGGATAAAGATTCCCCAATCCCATAATGAATTTTGTCATGGTGAATGAGCAAACACTGAGAATCCCTCAATTGGGGAATAAAAGACTGTGAGAACCACCAAGCGAACCCTGACAGAACTCATAGATAATTCTGACTAATTCCAGGAGATACTCCAGGGCACCACAAAGTGAAGAATGAACAGACAACAGATGTCACTGATCACACCAGTGGTGAAATTTTTTCCATTTCTGCAAATAAGTATGATGCATAGATCTTTTCCTACTATTTAATAACATCTGCTATACCTCTGCAGAACAGGAAATCTCTATTCCTGCGAACCATTCATTAACCAAGCCCGGAGGTGAAGAATTCCCAGGTTGGGACAGAGAGTCTGACTGGTATCTTGGGGGAGGAGGAGGGGGGAAGATTGGAAATGGAGGAAAGACTCATAGCTGGACACACCAGGAAGAGTACCAGGGTTGTCTGGGCCATATTCGAACTATTACTATGATCTTGACTTTGTCTTGCTTGATCTTGTTTACCACTTTCAATCTTAGGGCTATTGGAAGAAATGCATACAGAAGGCCTCTCATCCAAGAATGAGGAAAGCATCTCCCAGTGAGTGAGGGCCCAAGCCCCCTTGCAAGCAAAATAGTTTGCACTTCCTGTTCGTAACTGTGGCAAAGAGATCCACTTTTGGAATTCCCTACGTCACGAAAATGTGATTGAGAATCCGGGAGTTGAACTCCCATTCGTAGTTCTGGAAGAAGTGCCTGCTGAGGTCATTGGCCTTAGTGTTTTGTATGCCCAGGAAGTAGGCTGCTGAAATTAGGATGTGGTTGGCTATACACCAGTTCCATAGCCTCATTGCTTCAGCACAAAGAAGAGTATCTCATCCCCCCTGCCAGCTGATATAGAACATGCAGGCTACATTGTCATGGTTTTTGTGGATCTGTTGCTGACTAATGGCTGGAAGTGGATACAGGCATTCCTTACTGCCTTCACCTCCAGGAGGGTGATGTGTAACCGTGCCCTGAATGGTATGGATCCCTAAATGCACTCCCCAACCTACCAGAGATGCATCTGTCATTATGGTCATGGTCGGGAAGACCTGGATGAATGGAACACCTGCACAAACATTGTGTAAGCCTTTCCACCCGTTGGGAGTCTCACACTTGATAAGTGACTGACACTAGCTTGTTCAGGTTGTGTTTGTTCAGGGTATAAACCATCCTGAGCCAGTCCAGGAAATATCAAGGCATAACTTGGCATATTGTGTCACAAAGGTGCAAGCTGTCACATGTCCAAGTAATTGAAAGCAATTTCTTGTTAATGTCTGTGGACTGATTTGTATTTTTGAGATAAGGCCTTCCACTTCCTTTCAGAATCTATTAGACTCTATTGTCTAATAGATCTCACTTTTCAATTAGTATCAACAAAAATTTCTAAAGTTTCCCTTTGCTTAATTTCACCTCTTGTCTTCTATTTATATCCCCCAGAACTCTCCTAGTCTCCCTCTTCATTATTTACATTCAAATGCTTGTAGACATATCAGATCTTTACCCTTTATTTTTCCTTCAGTGAAGCTAAACTGGTTTAGATATTTTAACTCTTCCCTCGTAAATCAATCCCTCCAGCCTTTTAGTCATTTTTGTTGCTCTTCTCTAATTCCCTCCAATTTGTTGATTGCTTTCTGATCATAAGAATTGTGTATTTATACGGCACCTAAGGGGCACCCTATACACTGCACGCAATATTCAAGGTGTACTCTGTACCAGAAAGAAGCCCATCAATTCCTTTTTAAGTGATGTATCAGGGGGTAGCCGTGTTAGTCTGTATCCACAAAAACAACAAGGAGTCCGGTGGCACTTTAAAGATTAACAGATTTATTTGGGCATAAGCTTTTGTGGGTAAAAAACCTCACTTCTTCAGATGCATCATTTTAAGTGATGAAATTCCTTTGCAAGTGCCACCGAATTTCACTTTGCTTTTTTTTTTTTTGAAGCAGTATTTTCTAGTTGGCCATTTGCTACCACTGCTGGCATTACACCATTTCCATGATCTTCCTTGCCATTGGACATCAGACTTTTGTCCTGCCACTGCACCAGTTGGTATTTCTCTAGGTTCAGTATAATTTTCTTCCCTGGCCATATCCTTTTTATTGTGTTTTAGTATTCAGTGGACTGTGCAACACCTCCCACGTCAATAACATCTGCAGGAGTTAGCAAATTTACCATTGGCCTCTGCCAGATTAAAAAAGGCTTACAGCTGAACACCTCACACTGATCCCGGTAGCACCGCCTGCTCAATACATTGCCATTTATCATTAATGCCTTTGGTTTACATTCCTTCAGCCTGCATTTAACCCATGAGACCATGTTCATATCAGGCCCATTACAAATGAAGAGCAAGTCAGATCATGAGTCACAATATCATTTACGTTTTCAAAAACAAGTCTTACTCCAACAGTTGATATTTATCTGTTGGTGCAATACAGGAGGAAGCTAGCTCTATAGTTCTACTTCAATTACTGCTTTTTCTTCTATGTATGGCGGTTCCCAGTGGGGATTAGGAAGCTCAGTTCATTTACTGACAGAGCAATGAAGAATATAGGTATGTTTCTTATGGACAGCAGGTGACCTGACTTTGTAATGCAGCTGACTTGTTACATTAAGAAAACTAAAAGCATTAAGCTTGTATTAATTTTATCGTTTCATTTCATTATATTGATCCAATGGTCTTGGAAAACCTTAGGTTGCTCTCCAATATAACCAAATGTTAGAAACGCTGTACATTCCTATTTATGCATTAGCATTTTATTTATTTTTAATAGTCAGAAATAATATTCTCTCACATTCAAGTCCCTGTGCTGCGCCCATCACTGGGGTATCTGAGCACTTCTATTCTGCTATAATTTAAATGCAAAGCTTCTTTAAACTGCTGGCTTTATAGTTGAAAAAAACGACTTCAAACAAATAATGTAACCAACTGATCTTGATCTGTGGGGGGGAGTGCAGACAAGAAACTTGAGTAGGAGTTAGGAAATTGGGACTTCTGAGATCTAATTCTGACTCTGCCATTGATTCAGTGCAACTTCAGGCAATTCACTTAAGGCTTGTTTAACCAGGGACACACTCGAAAATTAATCCAAATTAATTAAAGGTGTGAATTTTAAGTGGCTTCATTGAACTGTGTATGTACTCTCATTCAGGGACGCCTCCAGCATTTCTGCCGCCCCAAGCAAAAAAAAAAAAAAAGCC